AATAAATAAAATTTAAAAAATAATAAAAATAAAAAGCACTGCTATGAAAAACTGAAAAATACCTTATTCAGTGAAAATTACAACATGCTCATGAATTGGATGGCTCAATCATTGTTCAAATGTCAATTCTCAGAAAAACTGATTCATAGATCCAATGAAATCCCACTAAAAATCTCAGATGGCTTTTATTTCTAGAAACTGACAAGTTAATTCTAATCTATATAGAAACACCAAGTGACTTTCAAAAACATCAAGGTTGGAGGACTCACAGGACCCAATTTTAACATTTATTATAAAGCCACAGAGTGGTACTGGCATAAGGACAGCCATACAGATCAATGAAGCAGAAAAGAGAATTAAGAAGTAAATCTGCACACAGCATCAACTGATTTTTGATAAAGGGGTCAAGGTAACTTAATGGACAAAGTTGAGCAACGTGTTCAAGGTCACAGAACTAGTAAGCAGGTGGGCTCCTGAGTTGGTTTCCTTTGCTCTCATGTCATTCTGTTTTAAGGCAGAGGAAAAACCACACCAGGGAGGACTGGGACACAGTCCTGTCAACCCTCTGCCTGGGACCTTCTGTAGATTCCCTCTCAATTCTTTCAGCACCAGGGTCAGTTCTAGCCATCATTCCCACTGCACAGGGAAGAAATCTTGACTGAAGTTACTTAGGGATTAAAGGGCTGACGTGGAATCTCTCCACAACTGCTGTGTGAAGAACAGCAAAAGTGACAGGTGATGAATAACAAAAGTGATATAAAATCAACTGAAATACACAGAGGCTTCTGGAGATTGTGTAAGCCTTGCTATCGCTTTTTTTTTTTTTTTCTGGGATGCAGGAAGGGGAGAGTTGAAAGGAATGAAGTTCTTTTGAAAACCTGAGACCCTGAAGTCAAAAGAAAGGTGAGTGGACCCACAATTCTCACTGTGGTGACAGGAAGAACTGAGCTGATTTTTGGTGATGGTTCCAAACAATCAAGAGAGATGACTAACTTAGAAAGGAATGTCTCCTGACCCTGTAGATGCTGGAGGAGGCTGCTGGGCCTGCTGAGGACTGGGAGCTCTAGGTTTCAATCTGAGGGCTCTGCCTCTGACTAGGTGGGTGACTGTGTGTAAGATATTTAATTCATTTTTGCCTCAGCTTCCTGATCAGTAAAACAGGCATCAGGATATCCCTTCTACAATCTGGGCTGTTTGAAGATTGAGCAAGAAGGTGTATATAAAGCACTCAGTGAAAGGCCTAGCACTTGTCAATGTGTCAGAATCATTAGTCATCGCTCCTTTCTCCTACTTATTATGGGGACAGGTGGTATCACAGGAAGAGGCCTGGCATTCCAATTAGATGGGTCTGAGTTAGACTCAGGTCTGCTTCTTTCTGGGTGCTTCAAGTATCAAGTTTTATGACTTAACAAAAAATTCCCATCCATCAATGGAGCCAATGTTACTAAACTTAAAAGGCTGAGGCAAGGAGAAGAGGTATCAGAGTTTAGTGAAGTATTTATAAATAAATGGTGCCTGGCAGCACAGATCCTCACTAAAAGGGAACATCTATTATTATTATTCATTTCTGATGTCAGGTATATGACTTAGTTCTTTTGACTACTTTATCAGGATAAAGACACCTTGAAAAAGGTTTCACACTGTTCAGGGTCAGGTTTCAAGTGTTATTACTAGTGTCATCTACACTCTAATACATAAGATTTCATATACTTTTGGTGGATGTCAAGAACTTCCTGAAGTTCATGGACTCTACAGTGTCAACATATAGAAAGTGAAACCCCAGTAAACACTCAGCAGCCTGAACCTATCCCTATCCCTAAGAAACCAACAAGCAGAACAGTAATTCTAGGAGCCTGGTAAGAAAATCAAAGGTAGAAGCCAACAGACTACAGCCCAAGGTCAAATCAAATCCATTGCCTATTTTTAAAATACCATTAATTAATTAATTAATTAATTTTTTAGTGTGGTGCTGTGGATCAAGCCCAGTGCCTCATGCCAGTGGATCAAGCCCAGTGCCTCGTGCTCTATCACTTACTTCACTGGCCCCTATCACGTATTTCTGTAAATAAACTTTTACTAGAAAAGAGCCATGTTGATTCATTTCCATCTTGTTTGTGGCTGCTTTTACACTGATGTCATAATTCTTAGTAGCAACAGAGATCATATGGTCCACAAAACCTTAAATACTTACAATCTATCCCTTTCTAGAAAAAAGTTTTGCTAAGCCTGAACTAAGCCATGAATGAGAACCTGTGCTTTATCCAAGGGAAGCTTGCAATATAAGAAAACAGAAAAGCACCCTGCCAGGAAAAACAATCATCTCAAATTTTTCAGGTTAGGAGAAGCAAAGGAGAAGAGAACAGGGGCAGGGTGTAAACTACTGATTACACATTGTTCAGGCACTGAACTGTATTCCAATCAGCAATGGTTATTCAATTGGTACAAAATACACCAGATAACAAAATCATTTCTTGTCTTGGGGTTGGGGGAAGTTATGTGGATAGCCTCAGAATCAGTCAAAAGGTCTCTTAATCCCATGATGCCTAGGAGCTGTGTACAGGAAGAGAGGAATATGGTGAGGAGGCTTAGGGGACAACCAGGATACCCTGGGGAAGGAGTGACACACAATCAACAAGCAAGCTGTTATCAGAAGCTCTGCAGGTAACTGGAGATTAAGCAATGAACTGCAAGGATTCCAGTCGCTGAAGAGAAGTATCTCTGTGATCTTTCCTTTCAGACCTGTCACACTTACATTATCCAGGTCCTTCCGCAGAGCAATCTTGCTAGTCACCAGCTCATGAGCCAGGTCATCGTTTTCCTGTTCCAACCTCATGTTAGCTTCTTGTAGCCGCCTATTCTCCCGCTGAAGGGCAGAGAGAAACCAGTTATAGACACAACAAAATCAAACGGAAACCACAATTTCTCAGAGCTAAACCTCAAAATGAATTTCTGAGTCCTATGGAAATAATAAAGAGATGTGGCTGGTCCTAATGTGTCTTCAAATAAACAATCTCCTATTTTCTATCTCCACAAATTAATACTTAACAGATTCCAGTGACCTTGTCAAGCAGCTATTTCTTATTAACTCTGATGAAAGGCCACTGAATTGCAACAAACTAGGCAGTTGGTTTAGAGCAAAACAGATCTTGCTTTCTCATTTGCAAACTCAAACTGCAACTTGAGTTCAGAAACAGTGGAACTGAATTTTAAAAAGTATCTGACATGAAAAGTGAAAAGTTCTTACGTCATCTAGCTCATAAGCAAACAAACCTCAAATCGCTCAATGGGGTCTTCTCGTTGGGCCTGCTGTTCTCTCATGTTGTGATATTCTTTTTCATATTTTTTCAGCTTCTTCTGACCAATCTGTAGAATAAACCACAGCACAAATTAAGAAGAATCAGAACATGGTGATGTTTCAGTACCTGTGATGAAGACTAACTCTCCACTCAACCTGGGTGATTCCAGATACTACATAAGTGGTGTTTCCCATTTTGGATATCATCACAGCAGGAAAAGTGAAACCTAGTAAACGCCCAAACCGTAACAAGAATTCAACTTTGCAGCCCAGAACCCTGTTGGGGATATTTGGTTCCTAAGGTCTTCACTGACAAGTATTCAAATAAACACTGTACAGATGGCCCCTTCAGAGTTCTGGGTTCTAGTTGCCTCTAGTAATAATAATAATAATAAATTACCATTTTATTTAGTACATACAAACAGCGTTGCTAAATTCTATAACAAGGAGTTAAAGAATTATCCTCATATAGGCAGGTAATTGAGCCATATGGAAGTTATACAACTTGACCAAGGTCACTCAACAAGGGAGTGGCAGATCTGGAATTTGAGGCCAGTATGTTGAACTCCATTTGAAGTCCAAGCTGCAGCCCCTTCATTCTCCTTCCACTTGTCCATCCCTTTTCCTGTCTACCAGCTCCTTCTGTGCTACTTCCAAAAAGGCACAATACCCTTTGACTTTAAGCACATCAACCTGTGGGCCACTGCACTGAGAAGCCCTTTTCCCCAACCAACTCTTGTCCTCTTTCTCTCAAGCCTTTTCTTACCAACCACAGGCTTGTATCTTCCACTCCACAGCTTCACATCCTCCTTACCTACTGTCTCTCAATCAGGCTTCTGCTGAGTGCTCAGGAGAAAAGTGGTTCTTTCTCACACCATCCTAGTGGTCCTACCGCTTCCCTGCTCGAACTTTGCAACTCCTGGATTTTCATGCTTCAATGCGGCAAACACTCCTTTTCCTTCTAGGAAACTTGTCTCTCTTTTTCTATTTTCTTGGCTCTCCAACTTCCTATCAGCTTTCCTCTCTTTTTTACTGGTTGGCCCCCTCTCTTTCTCCAGTCCAGATGCGATTTTTTTTTCTTTCTGAATTATCCATGTTAACCTATCATGATTTGCAATTCTCTTTTGTTTGATTCCCTCTTTTAAACTACTATCCATTTCATATGGTGTTTTTTAAATTATATTTTTTTAAAATTATGAGATATAACAAATAGAAAAGTGATAACAGGCATGTAGAGTTTAAAGAATGACTATAAAGCCAACATTTTTCCCTTCTCAAAGCTTCAGTTGTTAGCAACGAACAGCTGATCTGCTGTTGGCTCCCAGGTCCAGGAACCAGAAGCTAGTCTAGCTCAACTTTTTTTTTTTTTTCCTACAGATTAAAAACAGAGACTTCAAAGGGGATGAGATGGGTCCAGATTTGCAGCATGTTCGTGTGGCTTCTCCAGTGCCCTGTTCTGTCCCCATTTCTGTCATCTTCAAGCAGCCCAGTGTTCTTACTCCTACTGGCTCTGTGGATGCCTCTTTAGTTGGAGGCTCACAGGTCTTCCTCAGCTGGAGCTCTCCTCTGAGGACGTGCCTGCTGCAGGAGAGCAGGAGGCCAGGAAGACAGCCCTATGCTCTGGCTGCAGTCTGGAGAAAGATGCCTATCAAACACTTATGGTAAGCTACAAGCTGGGCAGTTGACATCTTTCAACCCAGGTCTTTGTGGTTTAAGGCCAACATTGGGGTAAACTTTTTTTGTGTACCTAAGTGATTCACAATAAAAGCACCTAAAATATCTGTGTAATCAGAAAATTTATAAACCACCTTAACAAATCGATAGTAGGGGAACAGAAAATAAATGAGGCTTGTGGGTAGCAAACACTTCCTTCCCAGTGCTCTTTGCAGTCTTGGTAAAAGGGAAGGGAGGGCGGTGGGTATTATGTGTTCCCCAGCACTTTCTAAAAAAATAACTGACACCAAATCCTATAAAACATTTCCCAAACCTTAACAAGAATTCAACTTTGCAGTCTTATGCTTGGATAAAGAATTAACATTTCCCCCACAAATATACATTTTAAAAGACTAATTGCCAAATAATCTTTTACATTTCATTATCCCTGATAAAACTGCCTCATTCTCACAGAAAAAGACTCGACTCTTACTCAAAAGCTAAGGAGTGCCTGGGAAATGCCAGACCCTTTACATACACCATCTGATTGGTTCTTACATTTTTGTGATAGGATGTGGGTATTTCTTTTTGCTTTTCCCATGTTTTCTGCATTGAACATAAATTATTTTATAAGAAATAATAAACATGCTATTTAAAAATAAATTCTCACAATTGTTCTGAGCTCTTTAAAACAAGGCCCTGCTCTTTTCTCTAAATAATGGCCTCCCCTTTCTCAATTGGTCTACAGGGGTCACTTCTCAGGGATGGATATACACAAAGCTCTCCCACCTTCTCCAGAGCTTGCTGGTCCAGAATTCTGACCTCTTTACCAGCTCAGCATCCCCCATCCTTCAGTCTTACTCGTTTTCAGTTTCATTCTTTCTCCCTCAAATGCCTCACTGCCTAACCTCCCAGCCTCACTCCCACTACAAACAACACAAACACACACCATGACTTCTCATAGACTCACAGCTGATGCTGACTTTTGGAGCATGTGGTTGCAAACCAGGACCAAATAGTTCAGGCTATTTCTGAGGCACAAACCCTGTCAAAAAGATGCTTGTCTTGTGAATGCAGACCAGGAAGTGCCAGCAGCAGAAGCAACAATTCAAATTTCAAGCCTCCTTATGAGGCTGCAGCCAGGACAAAGCAGCACCTCTCAGTCTCCTTGTCACATTATCAATATCTTCTCCAGGCCAGAACCATCTCACTTGTCTCTTACCATGTACACAGGAAGTGCCCAGAAATGCTTGCTAAATTAATGAGAAAGGACCCCCTGTTCTCTGCACTGACCATTCTTCTGAGTGGAAATGGCAACCCGAGTGGATGTACAGTGCAAGTCTCTTCCTTCTGCTGGGATGTACCTGGCTCACGCCTATTCACCTTCCAGTTCAGAATCCAAAACCACTTCTGGAACCCTTCCCTCATACTCCAGTCCAAGTCTTTTTTTTTTTTTTTTTTTTTTTTTTTAAAGAGAGAATGAGGGGCAGGGGACAGAGAGAGAGAGAGAGAATTTTAACATTTATTTATTTTTTCTTAGTTCTCGGCGGACACAACATCTTTGTTGGTATGTGGTGCTGCTGAGGATCGAACCCGGGCCGCACGCATGCTAGGCGAGCGTGCTACCGCTTGAGCCACATCCCCAGCCCCAAGTCCAAGTCTTTTCGTTATATCTTCTTAGAGTATCAACTGAATTCCTCTCCACAGTACACAATTACTTAAGTGTTTACTTAATATGCTACTTCTTTTGCTAACTGCTGTACCTCCTCCAGTGCCTAGCTCAATGCTTGGAACACAGTTGGGACTCAGTAATCAGATGTTAAATAAATCAAAGGTAAAAGAGTGAAGGCCTTCCTTTCCACCTAGTAAGGGTGCAGTAGAGACACTGACATTTCCCACTAGTTGAGACAACCACATACAGTGCTCACTGCTACATATTAGCAATATGAAATGTACCTAGCTTCCCATATGCAAACTTCACAAAGGCAGGAATTTCATTCATTGTGAAATTCCTAATGCCTGTCCTATAGTAAGCATGAAGGCACTTAATGAACAAAGATAAAGTCTCTACTCTTAGAACTTCCAAGATTCAGTCAGGTGTAGCAGCCAGGCCTGTAACCCCAGCTATTCAGGAGGCTTGCAAGTTCAAGCCTGGGAAATTTAGCCAAACTCTGTCTCAAAATAAGAAATAAAAAGGGTTGGGGATGTATCTGAGTGGTGGAGCACTTGCCCAGCATGTGCAGGGCCCTGGATTCCATCCCCAGTACTATAAATATACATGAGTAAATAGATTAATGGATTGAAGGGGAAAAAATGCCCAAGATTCATTTTTGTCTCTTACTTATAAAAAATGACACTATAACTGAGTTAAGGAAACAAGAAAAGCTGTAGATTCAGCTTCCGAGCTCTGAGTCACACCCACTGCTAGCTGACTTCTTTCTGAAGGCTTTGGAAGCCATAGGTTCACACAGAGATACTTTTGCTCTCAAATAAAAATAAAACTTGAAATTCAATCCTGTTCTGTTTAAATGTACCTTCACAGGGAAAAGAACCTTAACAAATTCCTGGGAGAAGACTGGATTTGTAATTTGGGTAAACCAATTTTATACCCCAGCGCAATTAGCCTAGTGGCTCCTAACACTGTTAGAGACAGCACCAATTTGAAAGTCTCTTCAGCACATGGCTCTTCCCTTTTTGAACACAGAAGTCAACCTTCCCTCCCTCCCCACAACAAAGTGCTCTACATCCCATTTCTGAGGGCTAATGGGCCCCCTGAGGTCAATCCATGGTCCCAGGTTAAGAAACCTTGAATTAGGAGGTAGAGATTTGTACATGCCAGTTTGATATTTTGGTGCAAATTCAGCCTAAAACACCTCTCCTTTGGTCACTCATGGGTCATAAATCTGTCATAGGAAATTGACAATGTGCTCTTAAACTATATGCTACTTGTCCTAGGGAAGCTGGTCCCTGTTCAGCCTCTGAAAAAGGTAGTGCCACCAAGGATGGAAAAAGAAAGTGTCTACTGGTGAGTGTGGGAGAAAGGTGGTACAGTCTGTTCACTTAAGAGCTGAACTAGGGCTGGGCAGGGTGGTGCATGGAGGCTGAGACAGGAGGATTGCAGGCTCAAAGCCAGCCTCAGCAAAACTGAGGTGCTAAGCAACTTAGTGAGACCCTGTCTCTAAATAAAATACAAAATAGGGCTGGGGATGTGGCTCAGTGGTCGAGTGCCCCTGAGTTCCATCCTACTACTACCCCCCCCACCCCCTGCAAAAAGAAAAAAAAAAAAAAGAAAGAAAAGAGCTGAACTTGGTGCAGGTAACAGACCAAGGCTCAAGTCTGGCTCTGCCAGTGACTAACTATACAACTGAAGCAAGATGCCTAATCTCAGCCTCAACTCCATAAAAATCAATGGTCCTTATGAGAACTATTGTTATGAAGATTAGATGATGCAAAAATGTATATGCAGTGCTCAGAAGACTGCCTAGTATTTTTGTAGTGAGAGAGACAGTAATAGCAAGATCTTTTCAATAAAATAGTAGTTATTACTTGTTGGTGTTCTTATTATCTGACATCTTGTCCTGAATCAAGAGAAGGAACAATTCTTTGAACATGTGCTGCAAACAGTGAGTCATTCAGACAAGGTCTATTTAACAAGAAAAGCATGAAATAGGCTGCCCTTTGGAAGAGGAGCTGATTTCCAGGTCTGGCTTAAGCATGTGTTGAAAAGGTCAGAACCCCTGCAGGGCTGGAGTCATAGGGAGTCCAGCAAAGGGAGGTTGAATGTTAGTTGCTGTACAAGTTGTGTGGCTGAATGGCTGGATGGTAGGTTTAAATAAGAAAAGGTCTGGAGATCCCAACTACAAAATCCTGAGTGTTTTGTGTGGCAGGATTAACAGGAAGTTAAATAAATCTGACATATACTCACCTTCCTGCTTAAGAATGCTGGGGCAGGGATTGTGCTTTTTTCAGTTGCTAATTAAAAGAATCTGATTTACATAATATTTTTCAAGATAATAAAATGTCTCTATACCTTCTGTTTTATTTAATTCTCAAAGCAGGGATTATTACCCCACTTTACTGATAAGGAATAGAGATCTGGATAGATAACTTCTTTAAAGTCAAGTACCCAGTGTTAAGTGGCAACATTAGCACAAGAATACGAATCTAAGGTGATTCTTATTCCATAATTATCTGTTTCTTATAAGTACTGCTACATAAGAAAATTCATAAATGCTTGTTTGAAGTCCACTGACTTAGGACAGTACTCTGGATGCCTGATCAGAGGTTGTCAAAACAGGACAGCCAAAAGACCACTGGTATTTGAAGGATGTGAGCAGCAGTGACTCACTGGAGGGAGGGAAGGTTGACTTCTGTCTCTCACTACAACCCTGCTGTGCAACCTACCCAGGTCATGGGTCATGCAACAGAGGCAAAGTCAGGATAGGAGCCAACCCTTTGGAACTCCATGGCCTGCACTCTTAACTGCTTGAAATGAACAAACATTTCATTTCATTTTGGCATTTTAAAATTTGTTCAAATAGTTTTTACACTCAAACTCCTTGAAAGATCACAAAACAGAATTAAGGCATTTTGATTCTATTATCAGAATGTTTTTCTAAAATACAAGAAGAAAATTAGTAGTGGAGGCCACAACAGGTAAGGACCAAGATCAGGACCAAGGGACACCAGCTTATTAAAGAAAGAAGGTAGTATCACTGCTGCCCTTGCATCAACTGGCAACATTTAGGCTGTTAAAAAGAAGAGGGCACCTACTCAACTATTCCCATAAAATCCTAGTTAAAAGGTATGAACAAAGAAACAACATTGTAGTGTGGTCTAGTTGAAAGGACATCTGAATTTAGCTACACTGTATAGAGTAAGTTTCAACTTTGACACAGACTAAATTACCCATGATTACACGATCAACATAAAAAAAGGGAGCCAGTACAAAAGCAGTTTTTGTTCCATTCGTTCAATCCTTCATTTATAGCAAAGCACAATGACTATATATGCATTGAGTGTAGAGTCTGAATTTTCTGGGATCCAAACCCAACTCCATTGCTTACTAATACTCTTTGAAATTTACTTCAATTTTCTAAGCATCTCTCTAAAAGGACCACAATAGTCACTGTAAGGATTAATTCACTGTGTGACCACATCAAGAAATAAGACTGAGAAGTCAGTGCCCTCATGGGGCTTAAGATCCTAATGTACACTACTAATCACACAAATGATCTGAAAAGAGAATGAAGTTCAAACTAGCATAGCTTTTAGCTCTTGAATAAAAATATGACATAAGGGCAAATACTAACAAATGCCAAAGATCTTTCTGCTTCTCCAAACAACAAACTTCATTAATCTAGAGATAATGCTATTTGGTTTTTGTAAACTTTTTGCTTATAAGTAGTCTGCAATCTAGTACATTCACTTTTTCTTTGAAATACCAAATTCAAAGGAGACAATGGTTCAGAAATTCCATTTTGTCTCAGGCATAATTCTAAGCAAGTACACACAAACAAATTAGGCCCCATTATTCAGGTATGATTTAAGGAACTCACTGAGCCATCTCTTACAGCATAGTTCTTGCCTCTTCTAAACTACTATCACACATCAGACTTGTCAAAAATCCTTACATAGAACAAAGAAAGCACTACTCAAATTTCTTTGTGTATGTGAAAAAGTCATTATTTTAAGAAAAAAATTTAGTTAACAAAAAATTTAACAAGTTTCACTTAGCAAAATACACCCAAAAGGAAATCACAATACCAAGAAAGCTTTAAGTCAAGGCCTCACCAATTCCTACAGATTAGTATTGTGTCTTAGTTCTCAAAGCTGACTTTAAAAAGCTTAATCTTAATCTAAAAATTTTAAATAAAGAAGAAAAAAATTAGAACATGAGAAATGTTTCTCTTTGAATAGGGACCTAGCACCTTTGAGTTCTCCCAAAAAAGTACATCTTCCCCAATGTGTTCACTGTGGTGTTGTGTAAAAGTCCACATTCAACATACTTAAAACTACTTTAACTCAGATAACATCACTCTGAAGAATACTAATGTTAAAATGTTAATCAAGAAAAACTGAAGAAAGTAATTTTTAGTTTACTTAATATCACATGCTAGAAGAAAAGTTTGCATGAGAAAACACTGCAGAGGTAATTTTTAAATCCAAATTTCACCAACTCATGGTGCAAAATAAGCCCCACAGCTTCCTCTAGTTATAAACTGCTTTTCACTGCTTGTTGACTGCCTGTGAAAATTTGATTGAAATAAATCAAATGTTACTACAAAACTAGTCAAATCCACACATGCTGTTCTGACTGTTACAGCCAGCCCCATAACAGCCACTCACTGATTGGCTCTCTGGCCTGGACAGCTGATACCCCCATGCCCTGCATCACTTGGATGCTATAAGCCCCATTGCTGGCCCCTGTCATTGAATTCAGGAAGAGATCTATATACCTGTGCTGCATGTTGGCCCTGTCTTTTGACATAGCTGCTACAGCTTCTTCATGATTGGCAAACTCAACAACTACTTTGCCTGTTATTCTACCATCAGGGCCGATCTCAATGTGGACTCTCAGAGGGTTGAGTGGAGAGAAGATGTAAATGTCATTCTCAGTCGCTTTGTAGGGCAGCCCCCGTTGAATGGACACAGTTACAACAATAAGATCACAATGTTTAAACACAACAATGATAAAAGTAACTATTTGTTTCCTCTGCACCATGAATTCACCGACTTTATATCTATGGTCATACATTCCCAAGAGACAGTAACTGAGTTCTCTCCCAAACAGGTTGATGGTAAAGCCATAGCCATCACTCAGGCCGCTGTAGTCTTCATAGCCTCTATATCCTGCACGAGAGGCACTAGATCTCATCCTCTCCAGGCCCAACTGCTTTACAATGCCAATGTACCTCCAGGCTGTACCTGGCTGGTCATAGGGCCACTGCAGACATGAACTTCAGAGGTGGATCAGACTATGATCTAAATTCCTCCTTACTTCATTGTACCTATGCCCTATTCTCTCCCTGTGCTTCCCTAGAGCCTTTTTAGCCAATTCCTGTGAGCAAACTGCACAAAGGCCTCCCCTATAATCTTGCCTTTGGGGTCCACAGGCAATGTGATCTTGTTTGGCAGAATTTCCAACCCTGAGAAGAATGGAACAATTTCTTCCTTTGTGCATCCAAACAGGAGTCCCCAAAGCCACACGAAGCCGTTTTGGCAGTGCTGGCACTGTATGGACCACTTTGCTTCAACACCCAATCCATCTTGGTTCTGTGTGACTTGAACATCTCAATGTATCGGTGTCCCATAATTTCCCTGTCTTTTTTCAGGGCCATTTTTACATCATGTTCTGATTCAAGTTCAACAAAAGCCTCACCCCTCTGCCTGGCTTGTCTAGTGTACTTGAAATGGACACCTGCAACCATCATGGATCAGGCAGTCGGAGAGAAAGTTCTCATGTTCTCCATTGATCAGGAGCAGGGCAAGCCATGGAGCTTGACCACAAAACCTTCACCTCCCTCAGGGCCTACCAGCATCATGAACACTTGACAAGGCAGATGTCAGACAAGTTTGGGCACAGATTTCTCAAGGAATGATGGATGCTGTCAGTGGGAGACCCTTAAAGTAGGTAATAAGTTGTCCACTGAGGAAGGTAGGTCTGATTTCTACTTTCACTAAGCAAGGGTGGCTCGTGGCCAGAGAATGCAAATTCCACTCAACACTTAAAAAACGTAGAAGTCTCCGGGGAGAGTCTAGGTGCATCTTTTTTGTTCTTATCCCATGCGCAGCTCACCATGCCCAGGCTAGGCCATTGGGTCTCAAGTATAGGAGCGGAAGCTTCAAATTTCTTGAATCCAATTTTAAGACACAAGATTATTTTTTTCAACCATCCTTTCCCCCCCACACCAACAAACTATGCATGACATAGTTATGAGTATGAAAGCACTGTGGAACTCCCAGGGCTGTTCATGATCTAGAACAATACATTTAAAGTAGAAGTGGATATTATATCAGCAGTGGAAGGAAACAATTTTTCTATCTCACATCACTGACCCATAAAGGGAAAGAACACACTTGACAAAAACAGCAAAGTGAGTCTTGATGTATATTAAATTTTATTTTAAGAACAGGGAATCTAACTCCTCAAGAAAGAAAAGATTCCATAATAAGTTCACATTTTAAGGAG